TGAGGTGCAAAGAGAAGACCCCAGAAGTTATAACAAGAGGCCCATGGGCCACATCGCTCACATTGGCTAGGCAAAAGCACAAATCAGTTCAGTATTGAAAAGATTACTGGGGGGGGGGGGGGGGGGGGCATGAATTCTAAACAACCTGATGATGCTTCCATGTCAATATAACAAATGGCTTTGTTGTACTTGAGAATTTTTTAAAAAAAAAATTCCCATATATTCCTTTGTAAAAATTTGATCCCCCATTGTGGCTCCTCCCTATCCCATGGGTCATCATTTGAACAAACTTGAATCAACACTACCTGAGGATGCTTCCATATCAATATGACTAAACATAGCTGTTCTGAACTTGAGAAGAAATATTTTTTTCTATATGTTCTTATGTAAAACTTTCAATCCCCCATTGGGCCCCACCCTACCCCTGGGGGTCATCATTTGAACAAAATTGAATCAAAATGACTAATCATGGTTTGCAGTTCTTCAGAAGAAGATATTTTCCTCTATATTTCTATTTAAGACTTTGATCCTCCATTGTGGCCCCACCCTATCCACGGGAGTCATGATTTGAACAAAATAGAATCTACACTACCTGAGGATGCTTCCAAATAAATATGATCAATCAGGGCTTTGCTGTTCCTGAGAAGAAAATTTTTTAAATTTTTCCTATACATTTCTATGTAAAACTTTGATCCTCCATTGTAGCCCCGCCCTACCCCGGGGGTCAAGATTTGAATAAATTTGAATCTACACTACCTGAGGATGCTTCCGTATAAATATGACAAATCTGGGCTTTGCTGTTCCTGAGAAGAAGATTTTTCCTATATATTTCTATGTAAAACTTTGATAGTCCATTGTGGCCCCGCCCTACCCCTGGGGGTCATGGTTTGAACAAATTTGAATCTACACTACCTGAGGATGCTTCCATATAAATATGACTCTTTAGAAGATTTTTAAAGATTTTTCCTATATATTTCTATGTAAAACTTTGATCCTCCATTTTGGCCCCACCCTACCCCCCCCCCCCCGGGGTCATGATTTGAACAAACTTGAATCTACACTATCTGAGGATGCTTCCAAATAAATGACTCATCATGGCTTTGCTGTTCTTGAGAAGAAGATTTTTAAAGATTTTTCCTATACATTTCTATGTAAAACTTTGATCCTCCATTTTGGCCTCACCCTACCCCCCGGGGTCATGATTTGAACAAACTTGAATCTACACTATCTGAGGATGCTTCCATATAAATATGACTCATCATGGCTTTGCTGTTCTTGAGAAGAAGATTTTTAAAGATTTTTCCTATACATTTCTATGTAAAACTTTGATCCTCCATAGTGGCCCCACACTACCCCCCCCCCGGGGGTCATGATTTGAACAAATTTGAATCTACACGACCTGAGGATGCTTCCATATAAATATTGCTCATCATGGCTTTGCTGTTCTTGAGAAGAAGATTTTAAAAGATTTTTCCTATATATTTCTATGTAAAAATTTGATCCTCTATTGTGGCCCCGCCCTACCCCCGGGGGTCATGATTTGAACAAACTTGAATGTACACTACCTGAGGATGCTTCCACATGAGTTTCATCTTTACTGGCCCTGTGGTTCTTGAGAAGAAGATTTTTAAATGATGCCATTATTTTTTCACTAATTCCTTATTATCTCCCCTTGAAAGAAGGCGTGGTCCTTCATTTGAACAAACTTGTATCCCCTTTACCCAAGGATACTTTGTGCCAAGTTTGGTTGAAATTGGCCCAGTGGTTCTTGAGAAGAAGTCGAAAATGTGAAAAGTTTACAGACAGACAGACGGACAGACGGACGGACAGACAGACGGACAGACAGACGGACAGACGGACGCCGGACAAAATGTGATCAGAAAAGCTCACTTGAGCTTTCAGCTCAGGTGAGCTAAAAACTTCTTTAAAATAGATAATGGAGCATTTGAGCAACTTTTACAATTACATGTAGTTACTCTTTTTGATCTCCTTCCCATAAAACAGCGAAGTTTTCGATATTTTTACTGCTAAAGAAGACCATTATTTACCATGTGATTTTTTTGGTTATCATAAATTAGGATGATCCAAATATGATTGGATTAAAAATGAAGGGTACGTTAGGACTTCTAATAAAAAATAGAGCACTACAGTTTTATAAGATTCGAAAAATCTTATGATACATATACATATATACCCATGTGTACAGCCCTAAAGTCGATTGGCAGATTCAATGAAAGCATATCGACAGTTGCATGTCACGTGAGTATAGTGATTATAATATCAAACGGGTTGACACTCGGTGACCTGTTAATTTATTAGCTAACTCGACCATTTTTGGAGAATTTTTCAAAAAATTACATATGAGCCGGAAATTGTCCAACATTGCCCTTTGGATATGTATAAGTTTAAATCAAAATACACATTCTGTGCAAATGAGACGAATGGACAAGTTGCGGCTCGATGTAAACAATGTCGTTGAAAACTGGTATGCATATGTATAACAATAGAAATGTGACAAAACTGCTAGACCCCCGTCGCAAAAACCAGTGTCGCTCGGCATTATTTAATATCTTCATGTGATATAATATATCAAACCCTGCTCTTAAGATACTGTTTAATAATTCTGATTCAGAAAGTTTATAAATTTCGGAAATTTATTTTTGGCGAAGCAACGGGACCCAACTCTCATAGCCTAAGTGTACTGATCCTTTTCAAATTATGACCCCGGGGGTAGGACAGGGCCACAACAAGTATTACAATGGGGAAAATCTGGTAAGAACAATAGGGCCACAGTTACTCAGGTAAGCTTATCTAATCAAATCGCACGTTACAACCAGAAATGAATTATTTGGAGTTGTGATTATGTTAATCAAGAACCTGCAACAAACAAACCTTATCTTTACAAGGAATGGATGAAAAAGATGATCAAAAAAGCATGGTCTTTGACAACAAAAAATTAAAGGCATTTGTTATGTCTTCGGTCCATTAACATACAATTTGGGGATTTCAAAAACAGAACGACCTATGGGTCACATCTGTTTTAGTTTGGATATTTTACTAGAAAAAGACGTTAATGATAACATAACAACAAGGATTTATTTTATGATAAACGTAATGACTTCAACTTTTCAATCGTCGATTCCTTATATATATATATATATATATATATATATATATATATATATATATATATATATATATATATATATATATATAGCAGTATACTCTTATCACCTGCATATGGGGTTTATGACTCTCAGTTGATTCGATACCAAGTTCATGCTCTACGTATTGAGCATTAAAACGAGACAAGCTATTTACGAATATGTTGATGAACAAGTATATCAAAAGTCTCGTCTGAAGTCATCATTTGGCAAGTTTTATGGTCGATGCAATGACGTGTAAGCAAATTTAACTTATCATTTAGTCAAATGCCGACTAGCGTTTTTAATGCTGATTAGTTGGCCATTATTTACGCACTGAATTGTTTACGGATTTTACCGGGTTTTTTTTTCGATCATGGCAAGGAGCACACGGCGAGTGTGACTGGTGGGCAGGGGATTCTCACTCCTCCATGGCACCTGATCTACCTCTGATGTTTTTGAGGTCCATGTTTCCTCCGGCCCGATTTGTATAGTTTGAATGGACTTTGAGCTTGAATACTATTCTTTATCTCCATATTTCATAAAAGTTTGCAAACCAATGAAATGGAGTTTGGAAAAAAAAAACAGAAGTTAAGACTCAGGAAATGCATTCTTTCAATATTCTCATTGAAAGACATTTTCTTAAAATGACCTTCTCGTAAGCGGTTGTAAATAATTTCTTGAGTAGATAAAAATACATATTTATCTTATAATGTTGAGATAACTGTGCAAAAGTGTTTGGTCTAATTTTTCTGTAAAAAAGAAGAGAAATCAGGCAGTATATATCTTTTAACTATATTCATATTGAAATGACACTAATGTGACAGCAAACAGATCCACCTGCACAATATAATCTCTCCATTCTCAGTAGAGGGCTTTTGTCAATCATCTGTTAAGTAATACGACTAAGTAAGGTAAATTTTTGTTTCTTATAAAAGCGAAACAATATCAATTTTACAATCTTTGTTTTGTTTGTTTCATATTTTAGGTACCAGGGAAAAACTCATTTGTAGGAGATAAGCAACATTTGAAAAATATTTTGTTTGTGTCATTGTCCATCTGACAAATGAAAATAGTGATAGTAGATCTAGAACTTTTTTTTTTGAGAAGAGGGAGGTTGCATCTACATAGTCTTGAAATCTGATGGTCATTTAAGACATTGTATAGAAAAATAAATGTAATGTTTACTGTGGATTTTGTAATGAATTTACTTGAAAAGCAAAGACTAAAATCCCTTTAACAACACATTGTTTACACTTTCATACGTTCTTAGTTTATTTAATGATATCTTCCTAGTTTAAGTCTACATGTTTTGTTTTGAAGTAAGTTTCCTGCATGTCGGAATCCTATAGAAAATTTCATGCAACTGTTAAAAAAAAATCCTCGGTTGTAATTGAAACACAGCGTAATCAGCAAATGAACTTTATAAGGCTTGTAAATTTATAAAACGTTCATAGATAAGTACATTTATTTTCAAATCTAAAACTCTTAGATACAAAATATCTCTATAATTAACTTTAAAGAGAGGGAAAAAAATTACAAGGAAGTTCCCATATTAATTTGCAAATAATTTAAGGAAGACATGATTGATACATATGACTATCCATATACTTACTTAACTTATTATGTATTACTAATTAAAAAATACCAATAACGATTTAAAATAAAATAAACATTGCCAATAGAGAAGTCCTTCATTTTCTAAATTGATGTAGTTTATTACATGCATAAATTTATTTGTAATACTGTCTGTTATGTATCTGCAGCATTCAGTTACTGTATTTGTACACTTGTTCATTATTTTTATTGGGCATGTTTGTACCTTGCATAATTTAAAGTCTGCAATGAGACCTCAGAATGAGTGTAATGGTGGGTAAGTAAAGCCGACTGTATTGTTAACATTGTAATACATATATTATGGGCAATGATGTAAATTTCTTTTATTTTTTTTATTTTTTTATTTTTTTTTTTTTTTGATCGGCGGCAGTGCTGCAGCTAATGGGGGCAAATGCTGTACAAATTTTCAGAGAATCAACGATACTTGTCAAGGTAATTGTGTAATCATGTTTAAGTGGTTACATATGTAACCCGCCAATTACATCCCGGAAAAAGAAACTTCTTTCTTTAAAGGTTTCCATTTATATAACAATTTGATTTGAGGCTTTGAAACAAAAGAAAATACATGCATTATTTTTTGTCTTTTTGGAATTTAATCTGATATTTTCCAATACGTCTTACAAAAAATGGTAGAAAAAGGATAGGAAGAAAAAAAACACAATTATGAGTTGTTTCAATGTAAGCCCATTACATTTGTTACCTTTAAAGCATGAAAGTTTTGACTTAATATCTGAAAGATATACGGATATTTTTTATCTCTGTTTCTGTATATTTCAGAGTGTCTTCCAGGTTACTTTGGTGAGAACTGCACTTCAGAATGTCGCTATCCTTATTTCGGACAAAAATGTCAAGAAGAATGTAATTGCTCCATATCAGACTGTAACTTTCAATACGGCTGTTCAAAAGCTACAACAGGTACTTTCTTAATATTTTTGTACAGCTTTTTAAAAACATGGAGTGAATGAAAAAAAGAAAATCACATTGATAAAAGGTCTTTTATCAGAAAAAAAAAGATAAATGTGTTGAAGGTTATAGTTATAGTAAGTACTTTCTTAATATTTTTTGTACAACTTTTTAAAAACATGGTGTGAATAAAATAAAAGAAAGAAAATCACATTCATTTGATTAAAGGTCTTTTATCTAAAAAAGAAGATAAATGTGCTGACGGTAATATTTTACATTTTGGAAAAGAAAAGAAACATATTGTGATTTTTATAATTCAATTTTTTTTTCAAGAGAAACATTCATCTTCAACAAAATTTGATTTTACCAAAGACTTTGTTTCAAACACAGAAACCATTAATCTTACACATCTAGAGAGTGTGAAAGTTAACAATTCAGTGTCTGTTCCATTCATTCTCATAGTTTGCGTTGGTTCTCTGTTATCTGTTATGATAATAGTTGCAATCATAAAGAAAATCGTTGTATATTGGTTTTTACTTTTTGCAAAGAAGAATACTGATGCTTCCTCCGATATATATCTTGACATTGATGAGAATTTACAAGTGGAAACCGGAGCTGCAAATGAGAAACGTCCCAATGATCATATAACTGTGCGTGTAACTGAAACTCCAACTTCTTCTAATAAAGATATAGATTCAGATAAGGAATCTGCAGGGGAAAATATTAAAGAATGTGTCTACAGCAAAGTTTCAAAAACCAAAATGTCCGCCACAAAGAGAAGTGATAACACAAATACAAAAGAAAAACATGTGAACAGCTGTAAAACAATTGAAAAAATAAGTGACAAACTGGAAAAGGAATCGTTCGGTGAAAACGGAAGTCAAAAAGGCACTTTACTTAGTGATCAAAATAATGTAAAAGACGATGAAGGAAAAAGAATCTTTGATCAGGGTGCTGAAACAAATATTACTGTTGATTCTTATATTTATGTGAATAAACAAACTGAAATAACACATCTTTAAAACTAAAAGTACCAAAACATCATGATATGTTTAAGTTAAATCTTGAAAAAATTGCTAATTGAACAGGAAAAAAATAAAACAATCAATTAATGAAAGTACTATACAGGGAAGTGATCATGAATGAAATGGAATTCACTAATTTGAAATCAATCAGAATTCGTTTGGATCGTACAAGTACTTGTAATATGTTCATTAACCTCATCATTATTATGCAAGTAAATAAAACATACAAATTTAATGCAAATCTTTAATTGGTAGCTTCCACGTTGAAGGTGCTATTAGCCACAAATGCACTTAGCTGTCAATTTTGTTTTCCCTATCAATTTTAAAAACAAATTTCGGTTCATTGATTTGAACTGGCTTGAACATTTACTGTTCTGAATGAGAACGGAAAATACAATTATCAAAGACCGTAATATATTAAAAATATCAATACAAATATCTTATTTAGTTTAATATGTTTTAACAGAGTTGACAGGTATTATCCACAGTGATCCACAGTGATCAATAAAACAGTGCAGGTGGGGCAGGCGGGAAACCGGCATACATGTACCCCCGTCATCAACAATTCAGTTGTAGCACAGGACACTGGGTTGATCGCAATCGTGCTACTGACATATTAATTTCAACACAAAAAAATCTTTAATTATGTTACATAATTATGAGGTAGCCTTACTCAAATATAATTTTCAAAACCAACATCACATATACCAACATTAACCCTCAAATACCCCAACATCAATCACAATAAGTCAATAATATAAATAGTTCAATGGTTAAACTGAAGTTAAAGATTTCGCCACATGGGCAACGTAGGTGCCCAACGCTACCTCGTGGGGGTACATGTATGCAGCTTCAATTTGACCACACCCTGTGGACATCCTAACCTAATCAAAACACTCAACACCTTACCAAATGGGAAAACAACTCTCTCATTGTCTCCAATAGCCCCCAGTAGATTATTATTAAGATTATATCCCTTCTTAAGTAAGCATCCTGTCTTTACAATTGATTTGGTTTCCCTACAGACTAAGAATGCCTACCAAGCATTCCACTCCATTCTCCCTCCAGGACATCGTGTTTATGAGTTGTTGTTTACTCTGCTTTGGGCCTGATTCATTACTCTGATTTTTTTATGAACCACAAGTTATTCTACCAAAGCATGGGCAAAGGGTTTGGATTAAAGGACCATATAATACTAAACAAAAATGTTTAGAAAATTATAACTCATATAAGTGTAGATATTGATTTATCAATGTAATTGTACACTATGATACCTTGCGTTTACCCCAAGAAAAAATGTTTAAAGACAAAACAGTAGAGATGAACAGAGATCACTGCTTTTACTAAAGTGGGAAATAAGCATGCAAATAAAATGTTCAGTCTATTTGTTTTGGCCTAATAGAATTTAAGAATGATTGACTTATTATAGAATAAGAAATACAGTTTTTTTTAATCAAAGGGCAGATTACTGAAATGCATGAATACCCCACCTACAGAATCAGAACTTTCCGATGTAATATATAGGTCTCTTAAGTAGAGGATATCCATCTAAATCCAAACTAACCCTATATCTTTTAGTTTTGAATTGTTCTATATCATTGATACATGTACCATAATAATTTACTCTAAATTGTGGGAGCTAGTTTTTTCAGACTCGACTTTCTATCTTAAAGATTGCAAACAAGATCAACAAAAACCAACCTTCTTTAACCCACCCTCCCCCAATCTCCATCTGCATATGTCTGCTGTTCCTGCATTTCTGATAAATAAATGAAGCCACACCGAAATCTTAATTTCTTGCCCTTATTAGGTTTTAATTATAATCACATTATTGTTCTGTGAATTGTGGAACACGCAAGGGGATACCTGAAAATGTTTTAAAGGCCCTGGAATTTTCATATCCCTGCCATCTTTGTTTCCAAATATCTGATAACCCTTTTTGTACAAAGCAGCTGTGTCGATTCTAAAGGAATGGGGTTTTGTAACATATTTTTGAGACAAAGCTCTCCTAAAGCCTATAATTTATATATGCTAATTACCTTCCCTACCAAGAGATAAAAAAGAGGTTCCCGTAGTTGCTAAAAATGCATTTATTAGTTATTCAACATACATTTTATCAAACATTCCACCAGACTTGTAATACATTTGTGACTGAATTGTTTACGTCGGACACTTGCCCAACTGATCATTCTTCGAAAGCCCTTTCAAAATCTTTAACTTATCACCTTGTGTACCGGTACATTAACCACTTCAGATTCTGCATTTTAACCCACTATCTGATATGTATGTACTGGTTGTTGCATCGATCTAAATCGATATCGCCAATGAAAGACAGGTAGGTAATTATAAAGTGTGCTATAACTGCTCAGTTGAGGGACTAACTGGAAACTGGCATTTGCATAATTTTCTATCACTTATCAACTGAAAGGCCTTATATCTGAAATGTAAAACATGTAAGGAAATGGATCTGTTACATGTAATTCTGGTTACCAGAACAACCCGTGTTGCTCGTTTCTACCCCTCCCCCTCCCCCCCCCCCCAGCTTTGCTGTTACTAAAACTTCCCGTATGTTTAATTTTAAATGTTAATTTTCATGACAAATAAAACCAGTTTCCTGAACAGCCATATTACTTTTGGAACTTTGAGAATTGAATTTAAGATTTCAACTTAAACTATTTTATTAGTGTAATTTTTTTTACGTAGAAACACAACAGAAACCATTACTGACAGTATAACAGAAACCAATGCTTAACAACATAATGCCAATTTATAGTCTTTTCCAAACTTGTTGGCCATAGATTACACCCATTCCCTCTCCCACCCCCACGAATCACATCCCAGTCCTATCAAATCCTGCTTAAATTAGGATGTTGTGTAGATTACTCATTATTTTAGAGAACCTTCAAAGTTTAACAAAATAAAATAAGTTCTTGAGATAGATGGTACACCAGTGTCTTATATAAACTTTGCCAATTGAATATGTTTTATTAAAAAAGTTTCAAAGCACACTCTTACTTTCGAGACAGCGTGTACTTTTTCTTATCAACGTCACTAAAGCGCTTCTGGTAGTGAAAATTTAAAGCCTTGACATGGAAAGTGAGACAGACTTGTTGATCTCGCTTTAACTTTCGACAATAAATGAAGACATGTATACAAAATTCACTAGAAACAGAAACCTTTTCTTTTTTTAATTTCCATTTTTAAAAAGAAATTATCCGGAACTTCTTAAAATCCGAAAACTACTTAAAGCACTGAATTCTTCTTTATCTTACCTTTGTTCACGGACTTTTTTTGTTTTTTTTTAAGTCACCGTGCAAATAATCTAAGTTAAGAATACATGATTGTTTTTTTTTTTTTACTCTTTCACCTCCACTTTTCTTCAAGCGAACTATGTAGTTTGTAATTGTGCTTTATATTGAAAATATCAAGAAAGATTCTTTGCATCACAATGGCCAACTGACTTAGAATATCCTTTAACCAAAAACTTTCATTTCGCCTCTCACTGCACATAAAATGGGTCAAATTTTACCATGATGACGTCATGTCGACAAGTGTATTGCGATCAGTGACTTAATTAAGGTCTTCCGTTTCCAACGGAAGACCTTCTACTGATTGTGATGATTAAGATTATTCTAATTATTCTTTTTTTTTTTTCCTAGACGCCAACTTTGACGCTTCATATCTTCCTCATTTTTAAACAGATTTTGTTCAAATTTTCAGAGCTTTTAGACTTTACAAAACACTGTCAGAATACCGTAATACAATTCGGAAATTACCTTCTGTTCACGAGTTATTCCCCTTTGATTGAATTTTGCATGCCTTTGATTTCCAGACAAAGGCTCAGAAATGGTTAAAATTGGAGCACAAAACCCTTTGAAATTAAAAAGAGGAAGCATTGAAGTTGTGCACATCGGTTTTTGTTTTTTGATTTTTGCATTAAAAATGGCGCTAGAGAGGGGTCAAAAGTTAGAACGCGGAAAACAGCAAAAAATTTGACATATTTTCCTTTATATCTTGAAAACTAGAAATATTTTGTTAAGACATGTAGAACAAAAGTTGTGCATAATTGCAAGGGCTTTCATATTATACTATTTAAAAGGGGCTGGCCCCTATGATTAGGGATCTTGGGCCCTTAAAAGTTTTTGCTTTATAACTCAAAAACGGTAAATATTTCGATCTGGATCTTGGGAACAAAATTGTTCTTTTACACCTTTTTGATCTAATGAAAATGTTGTTTTGTTCGAGTATACCATGGGTATTGCGTAATATGTATTAGAAAGCAGGCCAGGTAAACAGGTAACGTTTTTCATTCGGCAAGGAAATCAGACCTCTTCATGTGTATAACTTAAACAGACTTGCTATCAATAATATACCCTGCGGTATTTAATGTTAATTTTCTTTTTAATAAGGTTTAAAACGTGGTTTATGGTTCACTATTAAATTATTTATTACAACTAGTCTTTCTTTTCTTCTTTTTTAAATTAGGTTAATAGTGTTCAAAAGCGGAGAATATTAAATCTATCTCTCTACGTTTATTATTACAACAAACTTTGTAAGTGATTTTAAACTGTATGCATCGAATAATTCACGATCATTAGCTGTATGCATATTATGGTCTCCATGTTCAGCTCGATGTTTAGTTATGTAACCCAACGCGCGAATCCCACGCTGTTGATCGAGGTCACCAGTGTACTAGCCACCTGTGGCCATAAACAAAGCTAGTATTTGTGATCGCGTATAATGTCAATTTTGTACAAAGAGCTATTAATTAATGGAAAGTTATGTTTTTAATTATATCGAATCAGTAAGATTACTTTACCGATCTTTTATAATCTTAATTCCAAACACTGATGCATAAAAATCATTTTGAATTTTAATCGCTGTTTTTGTCTGTTCACGCAACAATTCATTTAAAAAAAGTATTGCTCTATCCCGTGTTGTTGTATTTTAATTCATCTGCAATTGTAATTGAATGGGGGCTTCGGTAAATAATTGTA